TCTGTAGGCCCTGTTTATTCGTTCTACTATCACACAGCCAGCAATTCTTCCAAAGGTTATAAATAAATACACCTGTCATTAGATAGTGTATTGAATTTGCTCAGTTCAGAAAACTATGTTCAAGTGTTCAGGTCATGGAAGAGCAAATTACAAAACATGATGTAATTTCTGGAGTGGAATTGACAAGATGAGTACACACAATCTGAGTATTGAGAACAAAGCTTCATTCTTATAGCAACAATAACTACTCAATGAGTTGTTTTTTACCTTGCACTGTTGATGGTATATCCACCCATCTCCAAGTTCTATCTCCATCATTTTAACAACTTCCAGAACCTGACAAATATGTTGTAACAACTAAAGTTAACCGTTTTGCCAATAAACTACTGAAAACTAGCGTTTGTTGTGGAAACAAAGATTTACACCATAATAGGTGAAGTAAAAAACATGAAGTTCACCTTATTTCTCCATGGAGAAGGGTCATCGTTCAACACCAAGATAATGCGTCCAGTTTCAGAAGAAGTCGGAATAATTCTTTCATTTTGCCAGCCCTGCTAAGTAAATATTAGCAGTGAATATAGGCATGGTGTTCACACATAAAAATAAATACTTTGAATATAAAAAACAATTCTGAACACCTACAACCTTAAATGGGATCCCTCGAGTGTAATTCCTGTGAATTGTCTGGTGAACCTTCTCATCCGCTTCTTCACCAGTGGCATACTCAAAGCCACATACATTGCAAGTGTGCAACACAAAATCAGACTGACCCAATTCCAGATGAAATTGAGCATAATTTCTTTTCTTATTCAAATTTTGAGGCGGAACCAATTTTACAGTTGAACTCCTTGATGCAATTTCCTGGGGTGGTTCACCATTTGATCCATCCCTGCTATCACCAAATATTAAGTATTCATACAGCCGAACAGTCAAGAAAAGAGTGAATGATTATTATCAGCACAATTCGAGCATATATGCTTTATTAAGAAATAAGTTTTCAAGAAGACTAAACAAATACAAAATGACATGGTACTTGAATTGAAATAAAGGACAAAAACTGACCAAAAAGCACATAAGGTTGTGACTATGGGAGACATTCCCTGTTATGAGCAGACTAATGTAGTAAACTTGAAATTGGAAAGGAAATGAAGAAATTATACAACCATATAAAATAAATTAGCCCATCACTTATAAAACAAGAACAAAATTATACTCACGTTAACAAACCAACAGCAAGCACAGCCCCACCATTATTACAAACGAGAAAATAAAGGGCAAATTGAAATCACACACACACAAAACAAAATCTTTGAAGACTTGAAGTGCTGTGATTAACAGAATGGCATGAAAAGCCGGGGAATTCAATAGCTCATACGGGAAAATAACAAATACAGTGAACGTACCCAGGCTTGAAACTTCTACGCTTGTATGTATTGGTGATATCTGGGCGTTCCAATTGTGCAGCCTCGCAATCGAACAAATCGCAGGAGATTGAAGAGGCGGCGACGGTCTTGGAAATGCAGGGCTTGAAAAAAACGTTTATTTTAGATTGCATTCTTCAAAACAATTCACTCCCCATATTCTTTCTTTGTTGCTTCAGAGTAAGGACAGATCATACTGTAGTTCCCTTTCTTCTGCACAGGTATGAGCAAAACGTAAAAGGCCCATTCAATTGGAGGCAAAAACATTCTTCCCGCCAGCTGATTTGGGGATTTTGTCCAAAAATAAAGTACTAATAATAATTGATGGGTTAGGCCACAATGGCCCAAAATGGATGGTTCGGGTGGGGTTAGCTTGGGCTAACATAAAACAAATTAATTGATGGGTTGGATAAAAGCTCTGATGTTTTTCTCGCTGAGCAGCTGGATCCGACTGCGCGCGGCGCTAGGGTGCCGGGGTATTTAGGGTTGTCCGACGCTATATTTGCTATTTAAATATCGGTTTAAATATGATTTTAGTCCCTGCAAAAATGACACACTTTGTTTTAGGTCCCTTTAAAATATTTTTTTTTGTTTTTCATCAATGTAATATGCGCTATTTAGGTTTTAGTCCATCTCTAACTCCGGAACAACTTGACTTGGAATTTTTTCTATTGTCTGTTGCATAATTCTACTAGAAACATTTAAATTTATCAGTTTATAGTTTTTTGAGGCTAATAAGAGAGTTAAAACAATATTAAAACTAATTGTTCGCATTTTTTAAATATGTATTAAAAACCCTCAAAAAATGAAATTAAATACTTTTTGAATGACATGACAAAGAATTAAAGGATATCTATTAGTCGGGATTGTTTCATTATAAGTGGAGGTTGTTATCATTAGTCATGGACTAAAAAGAAAATCAATGTAAATTTCATGGATGAAAAACAAAGAAAATATTTTGCAGGGATCTAAAACAAAGTGTCCTACATTTGCGGGGCCTAAAAGCATATTTAAACCTTAAATATTTGTTATATTTAAAAAAGATTTATTTATTAAATTTTAATTGTGTGACTGTGATTACTAATTGTGTGGCAGTAAATAGAACTTTTCATCTTCCAATAAATTATAGATCAAACCTGTTTACAATTACACGTTGTACAATAAGAGCTGGTAAATTTTTGACTTTTCAAGTTTATGAGCCAACTTTTTTATCGTAACTTTTGATTTCGCGCGATAAATTATGCAATAATAAGAAAAGGTAAAGTTGGAGATATTTTTCTGGTTATTTTTTGTTAAAGTTACTGTAGATGACTATTTTAATTATTTTTCATATAATTTTTCACTGTTTTATTAATAAAATATTTTAAATTTCTTCTTCTTCACAAATCCGCAAAATCAGCCAATACATCCACTTCAACCAAGACTACATGAATTTTAGTAGAATTAGTCGATATAGTCGATTTGAGTGTTACCAAACGGCCCCTAATATGGTAGTGGTTTTCTTCTGTAAATAAGAATGCTTAATGCCTCATTTCAGTTCATCGCTACGCATCAAATGGCAGTGTTTTCTCTCATAGAATGTGTACTACTCCGTATGTAGTAAGCAGGTCTGGGTTTTGAAGCTCAAATGTAACTTCAGCCAATACAACAAGAAAAGTAACTTCAACCTTACTTTTTCTGCTTATTACACAATTCAGCGCGCGAAAGCAAATGTTACGTGTTTGTTGAAAAAGTTGGCTGATAAGCAGAAAAACAGTATTGCCAAACGGCTCACAATCAACAGGGTTCCAAACAATTACACAGACTAAAAGGATCAAAATAGTGTTTCACACAAGAGGTATGAAAAAATGAAAGTTTGATTTTGTAGAATAGTTGAAATGAAAGATATGATTTCGATCATAGGCATTTACAAACACCCCATGCAAGGTCGATATGGAGCAACAAGTCTTTCATAAAAAGAAAAAGATAATGCTAGCTTCTAAATATATACAATTATAATGATTTTTGGACATTGATTTCCAAATTAAGTTGGGCTGAAGTGTCATATAACAAAATTTATATACATAGTTGTTTAGGTTATATATTGAGAAATTGGCTGGAGATGTATTATTCCTACACATATAAACTAATGATTATAATGAACTATAATCAAATCAATTAAACGATTCAAATAATAAATGAAAGACTGAGAGAATTAAACAAGAAAATAAATGATAAGATGTGGACTGCCGAGTACCAGAAAATGAGAAGGGAGTAAAGGGCCAAAGGGGCTGGGCCAGTGCCGATCCTACCAAAACTCGGGCCTGAGTCGAAATTAATAAAAGGCCCTATACATTATTTATTTTTTTTACTATAGTTTTCTTTGAAATTGAAGATTAAACATCATACAAATAACTAATTAAATAAAAATTACATTACTGTCAAAGTATTCAAATGACTAATTAAGTACAACTCGCCAGAGAGTTTTAGCTGCAAAAGTATTAATTAACTCGACATTCTAGATGTTTAATAAATTCCTTCTAAACAGATATTTGGTAGGCTATAAATCCTTTTATGGCTTTAAATAGAAAAATATTAGAAATTTAGAAGCTAAGCAAAGAAGATGAAAGATGAACCTTGATGTTGATTGATTAAGTCTATAGATTGGAACAAGGGAATCGCAAATTAACCTTAGCTAAGGCCCTGTTGTCGATCAATTAGTCTAGGCCAAAACAAAAGAATCGCAAATCGCCTTAAAACCCTTTTCCATTTGTACGTTGATGGCTATTCCACTTCTAAACTGGTCGAACAAAAGTAATTGAGGGACTTTTGGGTTTTCCTTTTTGAAGTACAACAGTGGAGTCAGCGGACAAAGGTTAGGCAATGTTGGGAAATAGTTTTAATTCAAATAATTGTGGGAAACTAAAGAGTTGCTAGATACATGTAAATACTTCCCACAAAGTTCTATCTTTAATGTTCCAATTAAATTATGTTTCAATGCCTATTATATATAAAGGCATCCTCCTGTAATTCAAAAGCAGAGTTCCTGGGGATAGAATATGATTTCCTTCTCATATATCAACACATAGTGTGTGTGAGTGTGATCTGATATTTCCAGCTTCTTTCTAACTGGTGCTCTAACAGGCAAAAAGGAAGCCCAATATGTAAATTTAATACATATATATACTAAAGAAATATCTAAAATTGTAGGCCCTAAAATTTTAACAATTTTTTGGAACCTGAGGCAAGTGCCTCATCCGCCTCAAGCACCGCACGGCTCTGGGCTGGGCAGACTTGCAAGAGGGCCACCGAGCACCAGAAGGCTGAACGGAAGGGTGAAAAGAGGCAGACGGCCAACTGTCGCTGCCTCTCTGTGTCGACAACTAGGCGCACGGCTGTCCTCAGAATGGAGACCCGGTGCAAGTGTGCAACAACAAAATTTGGGTGAAATCATGTTTCGCTAAAATTGTCTCACACATTTACTTGGTCAACACTGTTTTTCGGATTATCAACCAACTTTTTCATCAAACATGTAACTTTTGCTTTCATGAGTTGAATTGTGTAATAAACAGAAAAAGTAAGGTTGAAGTTACTCTTCTGGCCGTATTGGCTGACTATTTTAGCTCTTTTTACATATAGTTTTTTCTTTATATTATTAATAAAACATATTTTAAAATCAAAGTCTTACAAACTGGAAATAAACGAAAAATCAAATACCAAAACGGACCAAACAACATACATTTCGACAGAAAAACACAAACTGACAGAAAAACAGAATTAAAATAGAAAACACTCATCTTCTTCCAAACCCTAGATTTGCTTGCACTCCACGGCGGCGGCTCAGGAGGGGGACGCGCCCGCCGTTCATCCGCCACAACTTCAACATCAGCTTTATTCAGATCCAGTTTTTCTTTTTCTGCACCAGTTGCCATCATCTTGTATTTGTCCACAAAGCTTCCCAGACCGAAAAGAGAAAACTCAAACGAAAATCCAAAACTCGTTTCCACCTCCATATCCGCCGACAAAGCAGGCTTATACCGATGTCGCAGAAGTCTTCAAGCAACACACCCAATTCGAAGCAAGACCGAAGCCTTCACCTTGTTGTCCGTCAATACTCCAAACGAAAAGCACATTCAACAATTAAAAGACGCGATGGCTAGCCAAGAAAGCTCGCCGCCGGACAAAGCACCTCCAACAAATAAAAGACGCGGTGGCTAGCCAAGAAAGCTCACCGCCGGACAAAACCCTAGGCATAACTTCTAAGTCGGCGATAAATTGCAAATCACTTCTTCTATCAATTCAATTACTTAATAACTGAATTAAATAAACAAATAGCAACAATATAACAAATTAATTTTAAATGTTCTGTAATTTGCAAATTGCAATTACAAAAATCTGAATACCATAGATAAACAAATTCTGAGATTCATGTGCGATTGTGCTTAGTTGCTTATCAGCGGATGGCGGTAGTAGCGTACAAGTAGTGCCGAGTGCGGAACTGGGGATGAGTGGACGACGGCCGACAGACGTGCGGGCTTGGAGGCGGGGAGCGGTGGTGGCGTGATAGATTCTCAGAACTCTGTTTACTGGAAGGAAGGAAAGATCAGAAGAAAGAAGAGGAATAATCTGGCTGAAGCAAAAGTCTTCCTCAGAATTGTATTTACTGGAAGAAAAGAAAGCTTAGAAGAAGGTAGAAGAGTAGTTTGGCCAAAGTATCAATCCCCGTTTTCCATCCTAGATGATGCCTATAAATAAAACTACATCATGGGAAATAACTGCTGCTATGTGGACACCACTAAGCCCACTACAAGTAACTTCCTGTTCCTGCTTACAATTAGCTATACTAGGAATTATAACAATACTAAATAAAAGAACCAATATTAATAAAAGAAAGTAACGAGTCCTAATCCATATCATATGGGATTCCATCCAGCAAGCACTCTTCCTGTGTATGCTCAGTGGTTCATCATGGCGGAGCCGAGGCGAGCTGGCGCCGGTGGCTGGCTGTTCGGTCGTTCCAAGCTTTCAGAGTTTCAGTCGAAACTCGGCCTCGCCCTGATTTTGGGTTTAAATTCATACCGAATTTCCTATACTATTTCAAAAATGTCAATTAAACACTCGTACTTCAAAAACACACAATTAAAGATGTTTTTACTTGGACTGTAATTTGTCCCAGACCAGACCAGACCAGATCAGATCAGACCAAACCAGTGCAGACCAGACCATACTAAACTTGGCTAGTTATAAAAATACAAAGAAGCCAGACCAGACCAGACCAGACTAGCAAATTACAATCCAAGTAAAAACATCCTAAATCATCAAACTCTTAAAAAACATTCAATTGTGCAATTTTGCAGGTGGTCAGCCGATTTCCCGGTTGACTGCACATGTGGCGGCCTACGTGGGAGTTAATTTTCGTTTTACTTTCCTATTTTTTATTTTTCTTTTGCTTTTCCTTTATTTTACGCTGGAATCATTCCAGTCGATCTGCTCAGCTACTTCACCGTCTTCACGGCATCACGTTCTCTGTCTGGCCGAAAATTGCCGGCCACCAAGACACCCTCGACGCCGGTCACGAGCACACCACCGACGACGTCACGCCGGACACGAACTGCAACTCCGGCTATGACCACAAGTCTATTTTCTTCTCTCTCCCATTCTCTTTCTCGAGATCAGTTCTTGCTCTCACATTCTCGTTCTCCAGGTCATGTTCTTTTCTAAAATTCGTTTTATTATGTGCCATCCATATCTAGCCAGACCTTCCGTATATATCCAAATATGTGCGTGTATACATATATAATAGCCGTAGCGCAGCGGTATCGGCCATTTCGGTAGCGGCCGCCTGTAGCGGTTGCCAAGGTTTTAAATAGCCGTAGCGGTAGCGGTCATCGCGGTAGCGGCCTGTAGCTGACTGTAGCGATTGCAGCGGCGTGAAATATTTTCAATTGCGCAAAACATATATTTAATGAGCGTTGAAGTTAATACAAACATTATGAATATTTGTATGAACACTTATAACATTAAGAGTTCATTTACACAACATAGACACATTTACACATCAACCCGTTCATGACGTACTCCCGGAAATGTCAATAGCGGGCTGTAGCGGCTGTAGCGGGCGGCGTAGCGGGTTTTTCCTGTGATTTGGAATTCACAGCGGAATAGCGGACCGTAGCGGTAGCGGCCCCTACCGCGACCGCTATAGCGGTAGCGGGCCGCTATTTAAAACCCTGGCGGTTGCAGCAGTGGGAAATATTTTCAATAAAAAGATATACTCTTTCGTGAAAATATATTACTTATATGAAAATTTGTTGTTCTTTCACAATTAAATTTTAAGAAGTGGACCATGCATTGCAACTTGCATAATCCATAATAATACCAATCCCGTTCCAAATTGTTTTGTTAAGTCAACATTTTTTCGTCAACCGATATTAAAGTTAAATAATCCTTATTAATAATTAATTCGGTTTTAATAATTAAAATTTAAATATCTATTAATACATAGTATTTGCTACCATAATGTATGTGAATACATGTACATTTAATTTAGAGTTTCATTCCATGCATCACCATTAATGTATTTTTTCACATCATGCACATAACATTTACACATTTACATATCAACCAGTTCGTGATGTACTGCCGGAAGTGCCTGTAACGGGCTGTAGCGGGCGGCGTAGCGGGATTTTTCTGTGATTTGAAAATGACACCCTGATAGCGGCCTGTAGCGGTAGCGGTACCTACCGGCTACCGCGACCGCTATATAGCGGCCGTTATAGCGGTAGGCGGTAGCGGGCCACTATTTAAAACACTGTGTATACCCAATTGTTTCAATCCTCAGACTCAAGTGCCCACCTACAGTCAATCAACTCCTTCAATTCCTCCCGTAGACCCACCCCTTATCTTCAAACTGGATAGCTCTCACATATTCACTACAAAAAAACACGGTCGTAGTCACGGAATTAGTCACGGACAGCAGTTCAATTTTTCCGTGACTAAATGATGTAGTCACGGTCAGCGACCGTGACTAAATCCGTGACTTAATGGGCGTGACTAAATTGAAGTCACGTCCAACGAACCGTGACTAAATTTAGTCACGGACTAGTCACGGTCAGAAGCCGTGACTATAATACCCGCCGGAACCCCACTCCGGCGTATTAGTCACGGTCATGGACCGTGACTAAATTTTTTTAAAAATTAATTTTAGTAGTCACGGCTTTGGACCGTGACTAATATTTCAAATTTTCAAAATTTTTATAAGACCGCCCGCGGCGGTAATTTAAATTTTTGAAATTAGTCACGGGTGTCGACCGTGACTAATTGGTTTTTTATTTAAAAAAATAATAATTTCGGATTAATAATAGTCACGGATAAGCCCGTGACTACTTTTTTTGTTTTTTTAAAAAAAAAATCCAGTTTTCGTTTTTTTTTTTTTAAATTTTTTTAAAAATTACTTTTTTAAAAACGGAAGTTTACAAATTAAATTTCAAAATGTTTTTTGAAAAATGAGTTATTGAAAATATTATACTATTTTTTTTAAAATAAATACATTATAAGAGTAAAAACATAGAACAAATTCAATAATTATTGTGACAAACTTTTAAAAGTTTTGAAATACAACAAATAATAAATGTATGATGATTACATGTCCCGTGGGACTCCATTATGATAAAAATTGGGATTTTCTTCTTCTTCTTCTTCATCATCAACAAGAAACTCATCTGGGTTCACGGGGGGGTCTTCAAGGTCAGGTCGGGTTCCTCCTCGGGGTGCTCCTCGGGGTCCTCCTCGGGGTGCTCCTCGGCCTCCGTGGCTCGGTGTGCCACTACCTCCTCCGGATGACCTCGCAAAATCAAAGGACATAGAACCGAAATTCGGGGAGATCATAGGCATGCCACCATATCCGGAGTTGGGGAAAAATCCCATACCGCCCATGTGCGGAACTTGAGGAGTTTGCTCAGGGTGGAATACGTACGGGGGAGGAAAAGGCTGTTGCGGAGGCTGGAATCCGGCACGCATGTACCGTTCCATCTCCTCCAACCGGGCTTTTGTGGCAGCATCTGCTTTCCGCTGCTCCTCCCATCGCCGTTCGTGCTCCTCTAGTTCACGCTGCATTGTGGCAATACGGGGATCTTCTCCCCGCCTTGACCGAGAAGAGGAAGCGCCGGTGCTTCGATCATACAAAATCCGTTGCCCCTCGGCCCCCAAGCACGGAACCCGGCCCTTGTAAACCCCGGCCGCCTCAATGGCCGCCTCATCATCCGCATCGGAATCGAGGTCGTCCTCCTGGGTCAAGCCTCGTGCCGCACGCTGCCTGTCGAGGGATTCGTTGTACTTCGTCTGCATTTTCAAAAAGATTTTTTAAATGCTACATAGTTAGATTTGAAATTTTACTAAATAACAAAATATGATGTTACATACTTCGAAGTCAGCGAGGCGGGGTGGCAAATCGGCTTCAGATTCCTCGCCGTGCTTCGTCCAGCAATGCTTGACGAGCCGGAGAACATCAACCTTCTTCTTCTCAGGACCAGCCTAAATGGTGCGAAAAAGACTTAATTAAATTTTTTATAAGAAGGAATGTGATGTTGTAAGGTTTTTTGAATAGCACTTACAAGAGTTTCTTTATGGGCATTCTGAGATTTACGACCTCCGTGCCACTGCATCTCCAAGGCCTTCTCGGACATCCGGTTTTTCTTACCGGATTCACTTCTGGCCAAGAATTTCGGATCAGAAGACCAGTGGCGACAAAGGTTGGACCACACTTCATCCGAAACCCATCTAGGCTTTTTCCCACTTTTTCGCGCACGTTTAAAAGTGGCGCGAAGCCAGGTCGAAATCCTAGCATTGTAGGCTTTAAGAATATCGGCACCGTGAGCGTGAGTCCAACGATAGCGAGCCTTTATTAAAACAAATTGGATTAATTAATCACCAGGTATATATTAGGCTAATACAATCAGGAAGGGAACATTCATTTATTTTTACCTTGAACAGGTTCCACCATAGTTCGCGAACCTTGGGGTCAACATCTGACAGTGTGGCCCAAGTGCCAAGAAAGTGTCCTCCGATGATGTTTTTGATGCCCGTGAACACTTGTTCGTCACTTAAAAAAATTAATAGTATTTATGTATATAAGATTTGGTTTGATGATTTAACATTATATAAAATTATTGAAAATAAGGTTTTTCATAACTACTTACAAAAGAACTTCTGCAGGCGTCACCCAAACAGCTCCATCATTGTTGCGCTCCGCTTCGGACATAGGCGCATAGTTAGGGCGGGGAGCCGAGGTCGATTGTTCGTTGCTCATCTAAAATATATTAATTTATTTTGTTTTTTGTTAGAATGCTTATAATAGAAAATAAAATTTATAGGATGAGCTTATGAGAAATTATTTAACCACTCATATTAAACTTATACACAGTTATTAAATTTATACAAGTATTATTAATTGAAAATGTGTATAGCATATTAAACTATTTTTAGTTTAATATGAGGGGTCCATATTTTTTCATAATAAGTTCTTAAATAATTTGGTAATAAATTGCACTTGGAGGTAACATGTTAAACTTTTTACAAAGTTTACATGAGAAGAGATCATTTTTTTATGTTTTCGATATATCAATTTATATGCGAGGCCATCTTTTTTTTATCAGTCCTATCAGTTTATATGAGAGGCCATTTTTTTATCTGTTTTATACACATTTACAATTGTAAGTAACATGTTA